AGCTTGCTTGTATTCTCTCAAGATAGCCACCTACTAGTGTGGGAAGCGGGAGCTCTGGTGGCATGCCTATGGCATTTGACTGCTAACCAGAAGGCTGATGGTTCAAACCCACCAGCCACTCCTCAGAAGGAAGATTGAGCCATCTACTTCTGTAGTGATACCACGTCGGAAACCCAAGAAGGGGTTGGTATGAGTCAGGTACAACTTGACAGCAGTGGCTTTGTTTTTGTTAGTGTGGGAAGCAGGCTAACACCTCCCTCTGCAATCACATGAATGAGCACTTAGAGGAAGGTCTGAGTCCTAGCCAAACTGTACAGTGTGGTGTAGTGAATAACCTGTGGGTCAGTCCGGGGTCTACATTGACTAGTCAAGGGATCAGGGGCAAACTACTTAAGTCTGTCTCCTTATCTGTAAAGATCTGGAGTTAAATGATCTCTACAAAGGGCATTGTGGGCATCAAATGCACTATGCAAAAATGTTCCAGAAAGTATAAAGTGCTATACAAATGTTAACTAATAGGTTATATTTCAGTCGTCTGCATTCAGCTCAATGACTTCTCTCAATATTTTTATGCTTCAGTGTTTTTCATTTGTATTTGGGAATAAATACCTATTTAAAAGTTGCAAAAATAGTGCAAAGTATTCCCATATACCCTTCAATTAGACTCCCCCAAAATATAATATGAAACATGTCACAATTTCAGAAATCAGGAAATTAACATTGATTATAGTATTATTGAATCTATATGCTATATTCAAATTTCACCAATTATCCCACTAAAATCTAATTTCTGGTTCAATTAAGGATCACATGCTGCATTTAGTTGTCTTCTTTAATATGGGGGTTCCTCAACCTCTGTCTCTTACAATCTTGGTACCTTTGGTGATTGTAAACCAGTTACTCTATAGAATAACCCTCAGTATGGGTTTCATCTCTCTCATGGCTAATGTTAGTATTTTGCATTGTTTGTTTACTCATGTAATCAGAAGTCGTATAACAGAATTATAGTGTACTGGTTAACTGTATGGACCCAAGTCAAACAGATTTTGGGTTCAAGATCTGGCTCTATTGCGACTTTATCATGACTCAGTTTCATTTTTCAAGCAGCATTTACATCAGTGTCTAACTCACAGGAGCTGTGCATATTAAAGAGTGAATATATACAAAGATATCAGACGGTCACTGGCACAGTGTGTATACGTTAATGGCTTTACTAAGTATGTACGTGGTAATTGATGAGAAGACCAAGGTGGCATTTGGCTATGTACATCCGTTGCCCTGCCCCACCCAAAGAACCAGGGCAAAAGACTTGCAGCCAGCGTGAACTTTGGCCCATCATGAGGTACGCTGTTCCTTTCAGCCAGAGGCCTGCCTTCATCACTTGGTGCCAAGGCCCAGGAGATGAAGACCTGCTTGGTCTCGCACGGCATCATTTCTTCAGCATGAGTCCATGAGAAGAAAGGGCTCCAACAACTCACTTCCAAATACAGTACATTTCTCACCTAACCAAAAAGCAAAAATAAATGTGTGGTAACTTTAGGCAAAAAAGAACAGGAGTAAAAGGCTACAAAAGCTTAGACACCGAAGAGTAAAAAGCAATGCAACCAGCAACACCAGAGCAACTTCACTTTCTTGACGGTGGAGGAGAGCAGGGTTTGTTAAGAAAAGGGCCCTGGGTACAGGCTGAGCAATGGGTGGGACAGGTAACCACACCCTTTGGACCAAGTTTAAAAAAAACTCTTGCATCTTTCCCCCTAGGGGAGTGTATGGACTGTTCCAGCACTGCCTCCATTCACAGTGTTAAAGTGGCATCATTCTCTTTTGACTTTCCTTGTGCTTCCAGCTGTTGTTCATTTGGCCATGGGATATTCCCTTTGGGTTGCAGAGTTTCTGTCTTACTCCACAACAAAGCACAGCTCAAATGTCATCCAACTAGGTTTGGCTAGGAGCTCTGGTAGCGCACTGCCTAAGGCACTTGACTGCTAACCAGAAGGCTGGGCAATCTACTTCCGTAGTGATACCGCCTCAGAAACCCAAGGAGGGGTTGCTATGAGTCGGGTCCGACTCGATGACACATAACAGGTTTGGCTACTTAAGAATCAAATGGTTCCAATGGGTTGGAGACAAAGACCATATTTTACACTACCTCTAATGCCTGGGCAGCTGCAAGCACACTGCCAAGCACATAGAAGGCTTTCAATATGTATTTGCTACTTTGACTGAACTTTTATCTATGTGCTACCAGCTATAATCTCATTCAAAACTTCCACAAATACCTTAAACCAGTTGTCATCAAGTTGACTCCAACTCACGGTGACTCCATGTGTCAGAGTACAAGTGTGCTCCGAAGAGGTGTCAATGGCTGGCTGCCCCCGCCCCCAGCAGATCCCCCAGGCCTTTCTTCAGAAGGGCCCCAAATGTCAGCCAAACTCATGGAGAAAGGATCAATCTTTTGTGAGCTGTATATGTAAAAGGGAAATTAGAAACTTACTTCCTATTACCAAATTATTTCCAGTCATTTTTGTGTTAAACTCATGACACCTTTCCAAAAAAAGAGGCTACAACAGCAACCATATGATACCAAAGTTTATTGATTACACCAAACAAAAATGTCTGTAATGAAAAAGGCAAGTTGCATTCATAAAAGATGGCATTCACATTCATTCTAGAAAGCAATGTCGGTGTAAAAAACTGCTGAAGGAAACAATGTACTATCGCAGTCCCTTTTGGCAAGCTGAAAACGGATTTTATCAATACTTGCTTAAAATCTGCACATTTATATATGGCATGGTCTTAAAAAATTATTAATTTCGCAAATTTAGGCTTTCATTGATACTGTTGCTGGTGTGTATGTGGTAGATATGAACGAATGTTTTCCGTTTAGTAGACAACATCCTTAAACAATGGACAACAGCTGTGAAATCACCAGGACATTATGCTAGTTCAAAATTATTCAAATTATGGGTATATGACCCTATTATTACATTTCCTCCTTCCTCTGTCACATAACAGGAATATTGGATGGCTTCAAGTTATTCCATCTGCTAACCCCATGCTAACCATTTTTCACTCATTAATAAAACATCTTTCAAAAAAGAAAAGCGAGATCCCACTCAAGGGTCTAGGCCATGGTATTACACATTATTTCTTCCTGGCTATAAGGAAATTTATACACAGCCAATTATATTTCCACTACCAGGGTATTCTGATTATGCCAAATCTTCAACGGTTCTGCAGTAACCCAGCCTCTCTCATCATCTCTCATTTGCATTCACAGTCCCTATAGTTCATATGAAAACAACAATACAACAACAACCACACAATAAGCACAACAATAACAAACATCAAAAGCTTTCCTGGGTCTGATATTTTTTCAGCTCTTTGGAATAGGCAAAAAATATAAAGACATTGTCTTTAGCAGATTACCTCAAATACAGGCTACCAGAATACAGAACACTTAGGAAAGCTGTGAACGACACCTACCAAGATACTTGAAAATAATACCGACAGATGAGAACAAATGAAATCACGAAAAGGGGTCTAGAATCATGGAATGGTTTCTAACTGAAATTTTAAGTGAAATCACACCTAAACATTAACACAAGATGTATTTGTAAGAATCAAATGTGCCATATGGACCATATAAATATACTGGTACCGAATGAATCTAATACTTTTTCAAACTGAAGTACAATATTAAAGATTCATAATTACACAGAAAGGCAAACAAAATTGGGGACTGGTATGAAAATGTTTTTTTTTATAAAGACCAGTTCAAGTTAGCAGTCGAATGTAGTCATTAACATCCAGAAAAGCGTGTGTTTAGCTTTAACATTTAGGAAAGACATTTCACATTTATTTTTAAGTGAACTCACTGGAGGTTAAAACCTCCTTCTGACACAGCTTTGGGGAGGACTTTACCAAGACAAATCTCAAGGTTTAGACTTAGACCACTGACTTGGCTAAGTTAACTAAGAAGTAAGAAAGACAATATTCATGATGACAGAGCTGCGACTCAAGCAGCTCAGCTGTCTTCTTCGGGTGGTTCCCTTCCTAAACTGGCAAGTTAAAAGACAAAGTGCTACACATATGCACTTTTGTAACTGTGCCAGTTTAAAATAAGCTGTTCTTCCTCTCAACATAAAATTCTAAAAAACTGATGTGCATTGTGGCTTTGATTTTTGTGTAACAGTGGTTTTATCCACCTTATCTCAGATAATGGTAAAATTGACATAGGAGAAATCTGTTACCTCCTATTGTGAAGGCTATTAAGTGATCAGAAATACTTTATGCTTTATTTTTCAGTAACCTCACACCCAACAACTGGGGTTTAATGCACAAAAACCAAAAACAATAATACATGTATATTTTTTACATCCTCACACAAATACCCAGGGTTAACATTGTTTCCACGTAAGTGTTCAAGGTGTTTTTTGGCAAGGGTATTCCACCAGCAGACAATTTGCATGTTGGTGAACAGAAAGGATTAACTGTTCTATGTGATGTACCGATACCACTTAGTGCCCCTGTATTTTCAAGTATTCCTTTCATATATTTGAAAAAAATTTGAAAAGAATATGTAACATCATCATTCAGCAGGAACAAGTGTGATCCAAACAGCCTATTTCTTTTGCCAGGCAAAAAAATAATAAAAATATTATTAGTAAAATCTATTCATTCCCATTGCATGACTTCTACATTATACTACTGCATTTAAATCCATTCACAAATTTCATGGGTTAAAAGAGCACCCATTTGGTGGTTATTTTCTTGTACCTATAGCCAGAATTCTAAATAGTCTTGCTTTCAACTTCATATAATCCTTAACTTAGAGCTTTGGCATAACGACTGCTTACAATAAGTGTAAATGGTAAGAGAGTCATTTGGTATTTAACAGACATTAATTCTGAACCCGAGACACAGGGGAGTGGTTTAGTTTGTTGCATATCAAGTATCCTGAGATGGTAACTTTTTGTAGTTGTCTCTTCATGCTTTCTTTTTTAGGTGTAACCACTGTCAATATGCTTGTAGGACAATAACATAGGCAGTTCAAGATTCGGATTCTGAAAATTTTAAAATATACACAGTTAAAAGGTTTATTTTAATAATAACGTGAAACCATCTGTTTTACATTTAAAAAAAATCAAGCAGTAAATTTTGTTATAAGTAAAGCAATTTTGTCTTAACTAAGTGTCAAGTTTTATTCACATGCAGGGGAGAAAAAAAAAGACACAATAACAGATTTTAGTCCTTTCTTCATTTGTCAGGTGAACAGACTCAGACCTGCTTTTTGCTTTTGGACTGCTCCAGGGCACTCCTAATTATCTGTGCTACTAGCATTATCTCCTCCAGCAGGGCACTATGATCCTTTGGTCTGACCAGGGAACTCTTTGAAAACAGGGACAACACACTATTTGTCTTTCCATCTCCAGGGCCTAGGAGTGTCTGGCGCATGCTCAGAAAATGCTAAATCAACGAATTGTTTTTGTGGGGGGAATACATTGATTTTGACATAGGAAGTCCAAAGATATACTCTACTTTGAAAAATTATTGTGAAGACATGTTCTTTCCTGATGGAAGCCACTTCCCATAGTAACCAGCTGCCATCGAGTCCGTTCCAACTCATGGCAAACGGAGGTGACAGAATAGAACTGCACTCCACAGGGTTTTCAACAGACATCCTCCTATGGAGGCCATCACCGGGCCTTTCTTCTCAGGCACCTCTGGACGGCTTTGAACCAGCCAGAGGTTAGTAGCCACAGAACGTTCCAGATCGAATCCATACATTCCCTGGCTTCTAAACATTATTAAATGTGGTGACTGAGATGGGGTATGATAGGCAAATTAATCAGAGGGTAAGCCAGCTATCTTGAGAACTGGGTCACTTCTGAAGTCCTATGTCAAGGGAGGAAGCTTAAATTTGATTCTCCACAATGAAGCTCGATATTCTTGACCTAACTAGTGCTGGGCCTTAACCGTGTGCGGGGTCAGGGTCCTTCCCATTCTGGTGCATTTCCTTATCATGGTTAGATTAAAAGTCCGCCAGGATACTTTGCAACTCTGAGGCTGTAATTATATGGGTTCCTGTGCTGGTTCCACATTCTCAAGAACCATTGTCAGTTCTTCAGGCAGGATCATAGTGACTGATCAAAATGAGGCTGGCATTCAAAGAACAAACTCAGAGGCTAAACTAATTGCCAAATCGTTTCCTTGGAGGAGAAATAATGCCACATGAAAATCTATTCCTGGATGAAAAAGCTACATTAAAAACAAATTAATTTTTTTTCTTTAAAAATTAAACAACTCCTCAATTCTGTTATACATTGTAGAGTTATGGCCCTGGAGAGGCCCAAAGCAGCGGCAGTGTCTGTTACCCAGCTCCTTCTCCCCAAACCTAAGACCAAATTAAAGAAAGCAATCCAGGGGGATATGAAATTAGCCAAGACACACTACACAACTTAAGACAAGGCTATCTGGGACTAAAGGGCCAAAGACTGAGGAGGCAGACTACGGGGTAGCAAATTTTTTACCTAGGAAAACAAATACACAGGTGAGTCACTCAAAATGGGGAAAAAGATCCTGACCGGGGCAAAACGAGTCGCTCCCATTCTAAAGTTGCAGATGCAGACCATGAGGTGCTACAGGTGATAGAAAAATCAACTGATTCATCCCAATTAGTTTTATTTTTAAATTCTGTGTGTTAGGGGAGAGGGATGATCAAACCCAAACTAATGGGCCTATAAGGTAGACCTGCAATTTCATCTAAGAAGATAATTACCTGTGGCGGGTGTGAAAGATAGCCTCGCCCTAAGCCATGTGGAGTTGTTTCCAAACTGACAAGCACATGAAGCTCATTCACGAATTATTCTAAGGGCCTGGGTGACCGAGCTCCTGCAGTGGTGAACCCTGAACACACGTACAGCAGACATTCTGAGTTCAAGGCTTCCTCCCATGGCACAGCAGAATTGGGGGGTGGGCAATAAAATAAAATAATTCTTATAAAACAAATATACTTGTTACTGGAAAAAGGAATTAGGAAGCCATTGAGTTGATTCAACTCATAGCAACCGCTCCTTGGGTTTCCGAGGTGGTATCTCTACCAAAGTAGATTGCCCAGTCTGTCTTCCGAGGAGTGGCTGATGTGTTTGAGCTGCCAGCCTTCTGGTTAGGAGTCAAATGCTTTAGGCACTACACTACCAGAGCTCCTAATGAGGAAGCATTTTATATAATTAGGCTAGCATCCCCCTGAATGGCTAGGTAAGTGTTTACCTCTGAAAGCTGAAACATTTAGCTTGAATAAAACTTGACATTAAATTTTAAAAAACAATAACAATAACAAAAAACTCCAAAGTTATAATCAGAGTAGACTGACTGATTTATATTTAGGAATCAGACATTTATAAAGACACCAAGTGTACACCTGCAAACACACAGACACAGCACATGGAGGTACAAACACATTTAATGATTTTCACATAATTCCCAAAAAGAACATGCAGTGCTAAACTGACTTGATATTATACAGATGCATTTTGGAATATTTATTTTCAGGTTTCCAAAGACTCTTTCTGAACCCAAATCATATTTCCAGATCAGTGCAGATGAACACTTTCAAATGATGGCCCTGCCGTGACAATTTGTCCTTTATGAATCAAATATACTGTATTTCCCCATCAGCTCTGAAAACACCTAAAATTTTATTTGGAGGTTGGGCAAATTTAAAATATGTATTTCCCCATATTCCAAGTAATGCATCTTTATAGTTATGTAAAGAATAGTATAAAGTTCACCACACCAACAGCAGAGAAAATTTAGAGAGTAACATTTTTTTTCTTTTTTCTTTATAATGCTGTTAATCTGTTTCTTTAAGCCAGCCCACTTGTTTAGCACTAGGTACCTGTTACAACATACTAGATTCGTCTGAGAATGTTCGTAAAAGAAGAGGTCTGACTGAAGGTCTGGTGGATAATGAGTCAGATGCCTTTTTACAGCTCAGATTTCTCTGTAATAGTGAGGTAAAGATACTTAAAGCATTTGAAGATTGGTTAACCTACCTGGTGATAAAAATGTAGTAGAAAAAAACATGTCCTATAGACTCTGCTCTTCTGGCCAAAAGTACAAATGATTACACTTTAGCAAACAAATAACATTCAAATGAATACATTTTAAGGCCTAAGAAAGTCTCCAACTCCAATCGCAATGTTTTTATGGTAGAAATATACAGACAGTAGAAGTGTGTAGCAAACTTGGATTTTTGAAATGGCACTGGTAGGTTATATGGTAAGATGAGGCAATATGGTTGGATTAGAAACCTTACCATCCTTTTGGTGAACACCTCTGAGAGTTGTGCTGGTGTCGTGAGTGTACTGAACAAAGAGAAATTTGGGCAAAACATTTCTATCTGGGCGAACAAACTGGCTCCACGTGCCATGGCTACTACTACTACACACCATGGATCAAGAAGACCAGAGACTTCTAGTCTAAGTTTTTAAAGATTATTTCCTCTCTAGTGTGAGGGTCGCTATGAGTCAGATTCGACTCGATGGCAGTGGATTTGGTCTTTTTTTTTTTTGACAATTTGAGGTGAACAAATGGTTAAAGGAAAATGACAAAATATTCTAAGTATCAATAGAAGATATAAAAGTGAGTCATGAGAAGTAATACTTCATAAAGAATCAGAAAATGGTGTCAAGCAAATGAGAGTGCAAGCAAGTTGGTACATTAAGAAAGAAAATCACCTTATTCATTCCAAGAGAAACTGTGATTGCTGGAAGTTTGAGAAAGCATGAAGATAGTAGATGTTCCTGAGGAAGGGAGGCGTTTCGTTACCTTGTTCACAATTGCACAAAAGGTGGAAAATTGCAGTAGAAAAAAGAGAAATGCAGAAATCAAAAAGAAAAAAAAAAGTAAATATACTCTCAAATGTAAGACATTTAAAAAGAAACCTTGAGAATTTGAAGTAAAAATGACGTTAGTTCTGAAGACATTACCTTCTGAAGGAAAAGTAGAGTTAGTAAGGAATGGTCTATTATATGTGCAAACTACTATTCCTAATAGATCAACTTAAAATTATTTTGCTAATGGGAAAATTTACTATTTTTGAAATAAATTTTGTAAATTTTTATTAATATAAAACTTATTTGCAATCATTAATTCACTAACCTATATTTGTTCAAAACCCATTCACTGGTCCAGACTCCAGCACCAACCATCTTGAAATAACTGTCCAATCACACAGATACAATCGGAAAGGACTGACTGTGCTTGGGCAGGTTAAAAACCTAATTAAAACTAACGCCAAAGAAAACATTTGGTGAAGTCACACTGAAATTCCATGGACCCAATGCTTAACTTACTTTCTTCTAAGACAATGTGACTGGTCTCCTCCAAGCTTTTCCTTTGGAGACCTCTTTAAAAAATGCTGATTAAAGAACTGCTAATTTTTCTTTTAAAACACCAAGAAAAAGTCTAAGTTTATAACTTAATTAATGTAATTATAATTATAAAACTTTGTATCCTGTGCCTAAAGTTATAAGCTATATAAGACTTGGTCTCGGCATTGCTCAAGCAAAACAGAAGATGAGGTTAATTATGAGGATAGGTTTTAGAACTCTGCTCCTCAAGACTACCCATATTTATTTACTTAGTGACAAAGGGAAACAGACTTGAAGAGAAAAACAAGTTAAAGTAATCTATGTATCCAGCAGAGTCTAATAAACAATTATACTTTTAAAGGCAAATACTTTGATTTATTCATGCATGTTTTGATATAAATACGTTTTTGTTTCTAGTTCTTATTTTACCTTCAATGAAAAAGGCTGGTGACAAGTTGGCAACATACAAATTACCAATTAACAAAGCTAGAAAAATAAGTATTTAGTTTCTGAGAAAATTTTTAAAAATTGCGTCTATCTTCTATTTTGTGGGCAAAAACCTTGTAACAAGATTAACATGATACCAAGTCCCCCACCCAGAAAGTTTGGTGTACAAGTCTAGCTATGAAGACTGCGACTATAAGCACATTTTGGTGTGCTCAAAATCTTATAACTAACCTTCAGAGATAAAAGTATTTCTATGAAGCAGAAATTTTATGAGTGAATAAATTAGGTGATAAGACTACGTTAGAAGGGAAAACGGAAATATGAAAGTACAGAAGGCAGTAGAAAGCATGAAAAATATATAAAACAATAAAAAATTGATATTACTAAGAATTAGGGGGCAGGGAAGAAGGGGAGATGATAAGCTACACCAGGATGAAATTTGCACATTCCTTTGCAGTCACCTAGAGCTTTGACAATTAGTAGCATGTCAAAGAGGTCAAAGGATAAAGGCCCATATCAATAGCAATGACATTAGGATTTGCCTTTTTTTCCAACTGAGTTCACAGGGCTACTATCCTTAGAACTCAAGACCATTCCTGACATGAGAAACATAATAGTAATCATCATTATCACCATTCCTATTATAATGCTAACTGTATTTTTCAACCGTTCACAGTGTTTTCTCTGTGAATTTTGCTCAGATGGCTCACATTCTTCCTTCTCCATTTTCTAACTAACAGAGCTCCCTACACAATGGTAGATTCCCTCCAGTTTGTGCAGATGTCCCATACCATGCACAGCCACGTGCTGGACTCATTCTTATTACCAGTTACAGTGTTCTCATGTCTAGCAGGCCAAGCCAGGCCTCTTTGTTATTGTGACAGTTTACATAAGAACTTTACATAAGGACATGGGGAAACTAAAAATACCTCCACTGGAATGTGAAGTGCTCTTTACTACTTCGCTGGAAGGTCCAGGTGTGTATCACTAATTCATAGAAGGCCCAGCTTCTCTTTTGCTTATGAAGTGACAAAGCTGCATAGCTATGCTGCTGACATGTGATGAAACTACCACCGAGCACTTGATAAACCAAAGGAAAGCTCTTTGATCCTAAATAATGGGACCTTAGCACAAAAATTCATTGCTGAAAATATAGCTGATGAATACATGGATTAACTATCAACCTTGAGTTAGGCGACAGGGAAGCTATTTTCAAAACTCGCCAAAGTCTTTATGGATGCTGTATCATGGCAGAACTCAGCTGTGCTGGAGGCCACCATGTCAATCTTTTTACTGGAAGCTTCAGGGGGTAATGGCTCAGTCTTTGAAATAGCTTAGTTGTGTTGTAACAAGCCATGTTCTATTGTTCTGCTTTTATACCTGCACACATAAAAGAGTGTTCCATATGAGTCACCTATCTTACCTGAGAAAAAGCTCCTTGTAAGCAAGGGCCATGTTTGTTTGACCCTTGAATTACCAGCACCAAGTACAGTAACTCAGGAGACCTTGGGTGAGACAAATAGCTAACATGCTTGTCTGTTAACTGAAAGGCTGGAGTCCAATCAGACGAACCTCAGAAGAAAGGCCTGGTGATCTACTTCTGAAAAAAATCAGTCATTGAAAACCCAATGGAGCCCAGTTCTACTCTGTTGTTGTTGTTATGTGCCGTGGAGTCGGCCCCGACTCATAGCGTCCCCTCCTTGGGTTTCCGAGGCAGTATCACTACAGAAGTAGGATTGCCCAAACTTCCTTCTAAGGAGTGGCTGGTGACTCTGGCAACTGTTAAATCCTACAATCGTTAAATGCAATAACTTAACTTCCCTTCTCAAAGCAGATGCCAAGGTCCATGTGGGGATAACGCTGGAGGCTGAAATGCCACTGGCATTGCCCGCTGTGTGTACAAAGGGTCCAAGAAGCTTACTGGTTAAAGTCAGGGGGATCTTTCTTCCCCTAGGTAGGACCACATGCTTTACCCCCACTAGGGAGCCTGTCATGTATGAGACAGGTCCGTGTACAAGAATCTTTTGTCTCTCTTTGAAGTGAGACTAATGCCTTAGCAAGGGATACTGAACAAAGCAGGAAGCTACCCAAGATGTCTGACTCGACGGCAAATAACAACAACACACCCAAGATGTCAGACTGTTGGTCACTGACTAAGCGTCAAGGATAATATTATTTTGGGAACATAAGATACTTTCTCCTTTTTCTTAGGCGTGGTCTCTGCCTCTTTGATACGGCCAAGTAAGGTCTTGTATAAATAGCCATGGCGGCTGGGTTTCAGTTGGCATTTATGCATTCATATGCACTATATTGCTCTTGCACTTTCTCGCTAAAAAAAAAAAGAGGAAGAGGCAGTGCTGCTGATTGCCTGCAATGTTCTCTCTCATCTCCAACTCTCAGAATCTCAGTCTGAAAAACCAGTTGGCCTTTCAGACATTGGATATAAAGAGAGATGTTCATCAGTAGGTGGTTCAGCAAATGTTTATTGGTTCAATGAGGGTAGGAATAAATGAATGATTTAATGAATGAAGGTGATTATGAAAATTCTCCAGGTTGTTCTAGCACACCAGCATGCCAAGCTACAGCACAGACACTTAAATTCTTCCACTATGGACATGACTCACAGCAAACAAATTCCATGCTGCACCCCTGGAAAACTCTATGCTGCTAAGTAAAATGGGCTGCAGTTCTAAAACTCCACACTTACAATAGAAGTTCAGGATCTGCTGTTTGCACTGAGAAAAAAATGTTCTAAGGTTTTAATCTGTGACTCCTTGGAGCACCCTTCCATTTAAGCCTACATAAAAGTAACCTCTAGCCTGTGTCTACATTTCAAAGGTTATGTTTGAAGGTTTTAATTTCTCATCTCTCTGTATCATCTTTAGAGCATGAAGCTGGATGGAATCTATCTTAGCATGAGCTCCATTACCAAATAACGTTTAAGAGGAAGCCAAGGTGTACTCCCATAAAAGAATGGAAGAGAAGCGAGGAGATCCTCTCCAGATCAATTCCTATTATATAAAAGCATCAAAGCAAATCTGCGACATTTGTTATTTGGCTTCCTTCAAATTGCTACTTGAGTCATTCTGAGAGGAACCTGTCATATCAACCTGTTTTTCCTCTGTTCAACTGTTAATAAGTATAATTAGGTAATTCAATGCCACTTTTCCATTCTAAGATTGAATATCAGGCTGGAGGGAGTTAATATGGTCTACTGGAAGGATTTAGGCAAAGACTAAGGCAGTCTTAGCTAGGCTGACACTATCTCGGTCCAGGTCCATCCCAGAAGGCAAGCAGAAGCAGGGGGTTCAGAACAATTCTGAGTACCTGACAACACATGGTTTGGCCAAGAATCAATGAAGCTATGTCACTGATACTTCCATGTCTTTGACTGGGACTGACACTGACTTTTAACATGAAAATCTTTACATATATAATCATTGAAGTTTTTCCCACTATAATCATTTCAGATTCCCATGTCTGCATGATGTGAATCACTAGATTCTATCAATTCAAAAGGAAAATAAAACAAACACTACCAACAAAATCAGACATCCCAGTCTGATGAATAAATTGGTTAATAAATTTGATCAAATAGGTATGGTAAACAGAGCTGAAATGATTTCCTGGTAACAGTGCCTTGGAAGCGACATAGGACCAAGCTGGTGGGAATATGACAGAAACAGAGTTTTGTTTGGCAAAATGAACTAGTGTTGCCAGGAATAAATGGAATTAATCTGCTGGTTAAAATCTGACAGAAGTTTTATTCCCAGGTTAATCTACCCTTTCACTTTAAAGGCTTTTTATAAATGTTCAAAAAATATCAGATAATGCAGGGCAAGTGATTAGGCTGAGGGAGGATAGTTAACTCCTTATATCTGCAAGAAATTTACAATTTAAGCAGCAAAAAAAAAAAACCCACACACAAGATAATCTTGAAATTTTTTTTTTTAAACAAGTGTGTTCAGAAGGGTAAGGATGTTGAAATCACATCCAGGGAATTCTCTTTGGCGCAAATATACTGCTGGACAGACAGGGCTAGAAGCAACACAGAGATTAAGCAGCACTATAATTAAGGAAGGGGAAAGGTTTCAAAGAGGTAAATTGGAATATCAACTGAAAAAAATAAATCTGCAAACAACACGCAAGGAAATTTCTAAGGTTAAAGCAGAAATGTTGGTGTGGAAATTCCTGGTGTGAGAATTCTAGGCTAAATACAAAATAAAATCACTTTTTTTTCTTTTAAATTTCCATATGGAGCATATGACATACTCCATATGGATGGCTAAATGTCACACATAACACTATTAAGGAATCTACTTACCACCTGCATTGGATAACGAAGTTTTTACTATACTTTTTATGCAGAAGAGGAAATTAAGTGGTGAACCTGCAAGGAGGGGTTTAATATTCTGTAACTGATACAGTTCTCTAGATAAGGTTTGTAGTTCACGGCAGATAACGAAATCCCTTCAAAAAATCAGGTTATAGTATAAACTTAGTTCTTACCCTGGCACTTCTTCTTCTTACATTCTTTAATACTATCAGGAGAATCTCCGGGAAAAGGCTGATAAATATTAGAAAAACTATGGCCAACCACGTGGATACAGACGATAGCATTTGAGCAAATACGAAATACATTCTCTGCTGCTTGAGAAAAGGCCTGGAGTGGAAAGATAATACATAATAGAAAACAAATCAGTTTCCCGCATATGAAACAGAAATGTAATTCACATTGTCTTTTGTATTTAAAAGGAATCTTCATTATACACCTTAATAAAGATAATTTTCTCAAGAACGTCCCAAATGTACTAAACAACTTTCATTTACCAAATGTTTGGAAAGAAAAGGAATGATAATCAAAGGGAAAAAGTAAGATAATAAAATCTAATAAAATCCATTTGATCTGAAAACAATCAGGTAATCAACTCTAAAGCTGCCAACCTGAGAATATTTCTTTGCATTAGAAAATGCTGGAGCTTCAGAGATATTCAAGATAAATGGTGGTTAATTTTCATGCTAACAAGCATTTTACTTCCCTAGCTGTTTCATAAATACGAGGATAGTTCTGTGCTCTACATTAACAAATTTAAGACATTTAAATAATATTCTCCCCAAAAAAACTATGTAAATATCAGAATAACTGAAGAGCTCATCATCTCTCTCAAATGGTAGAAATCTAGCATTCTCATCCACAAACATATCTGAGCAGCACATGCCAAGTAGGTTGTTCTCATTTAAATGTTAATGTCTGCACATCCTTAGGTAACACAAGAAAATCAAGCTTATGGCCTTGCACCTCTGAGGACTAGGCAGTGGAAGAGAAGTGGGAAGGACAGGGAGGTGGATAACCTTTTGAGGCCTGGGCTAATCAGGCTTTGGTCCTGTACAAAAAATGACTTCTTCAGAGTTCTAGCCCCAGACTAGCTTTGAAGAGCACCCTGACTAACTTTCTAGGCAGTTAACTGTGCCTTTTGCCTGAACAACATCTCTGAAACATTGCAGGGGACAGTAAAAAACAAGAGATTCTTCCTGGGTTGGGTTTTGTGCTTAGAAATCATCATTCTCACTGCTCAGCCTGAAAGAGGGATATGTTCCATCCAACGCTTCAGGGTAGAACACGCCTAGGCAAACTGGTGGAAACCAGCATTCAACTGAAATTAAGGTTTCCAGTCACATTTTGCTGGCTGCTTTGTATTATCGAGTTTATAATTCATCTATTAGCTCCACTCCAACAGCTCTACTTAAGGACAGAAATGAAGACAATAAAGTTTTAAAAATCGACTAATAGATTATTTTTAGTATCTTAATGAATAAAAACAGACAAGACCCTATTATGGCCTGACAGTGTCTTAATCATTTAAAGGATATGTTTTAATCAATAAGGAATACTCTATAGAAAGAGCTAAAGATTTGTTTTATTCCTAGAAACATTTTATTCTTGTGGGAATTTTTCAGATGCCGATTACATGGATTCACAGACAGAATTTACGGCACTCCGGGCAGCCCTGCTATTGTATATTAGTTAACTTTAATTCAATTGTACATTTTTAAAATAGGACCTTCATTCAGCTTCTCTGCCCTCAATCATTACCTATATAGGTGTCAAACATATGCTGTGATTACACTTTTCAGAGCTGGTGCATCCATAAGTGATTGTTGTTGTTGTTATGTGCCGTCGAGTCGGCCCCGACTCATAGCGACCCCTCCTTGGGTTTCCGAGGCAGTATCACTACGGAAGTAGGATTGCCCAACCTTCCTTCCGAGGAGTGGCTGGTGGGTTTGAACCGCCAGCCTTCTGGTTAGCAGTCAAGTGCTTTAGCCACTATGCTACCAGAGCTCCTCCATAAGTGATTAGGTACTTAATATTTTTATTTAAGACTTTTGTAAAACAAAAGCTTTCAAAATAATAAGCATGTCTTCTAATTAAGTTGCAAGGGACATAAACATGATCCTTCATAGATCACATCTCTGATAAAATGCTTTGTATTTATGATTTTGCTCAAACCAGAGAAAATATGTTCTCTTGGATTCTCACTCTATGGCTTACTCTAGCCATGTTTCCTGCTGCTGCTAGCATCTGTCTCAAGGGAAGCCATCGATTAATGAAAAGAACTTTGACATTTTAAAACAAAATGTAGACCTCTAGGGGTAAGGAAAGGAGATGCAACTCTTATTTTCATTCTTCCTAACTTCCCTAATCGCAGCTGAAGTGTCCCTCAATACATATCAGCTCCTTGAGGACAGTACCCAGTATGATGTGAATTCAGAATACACACCTACTGAACCAAGATGAACTGACTGAACTAACTTTAAGACCAAGCTATATAAATCTGCCTTGACCCAAAAAAGCAGTGAGGTGTTTCAAGGTCTGACCCTCTGGGTACTCAGTGGTGCATCTCCTATTCCCTGAGAACACTTGTTGTGGCACGAATGATGACTACATACCATAAAGAGATAAAAGGGTCCAAATGGATAATAATCTATCTACTGGTCACTTACCATGTAGAAAGTTCACAGGATGAGTATTTCCACTGGAAATTATAGCTTCAAGTCATAGAGAGATATTTATATACCTTCAGATTGAATGATATATGGGAAGAGACTACCAAAAGGGAGGCCCTTTCAATAAGTCCTACAGTCTGTATACTTGTATCTGTAAACTTACCTAAATTAGCAGTGTTGCTGGATAAAAATAACTCCAGGCCATTAATATGGAAGAACTGCCATCTTATACAACCAAAACTTTTAAAAATATAATCAATGTTTACATATCAATGTACATATATATACACAGTTATTTGCATTTCACACATGCACAAACTGCTTACCAAATAATTCCTCCCCAGAAGAATGAAAAAAATACATAAAAGGCTAAGGAACCCCAAATCACAAAGTGATTTATCCATGTCCAGAACCGCGTATCCAAGGCGAGCTGCAAAGATACAACACAAGAACTTTCATAGATGGATACTGATTACACCAGGTGATACATTACATTATCTGATAATTGTATACAGCATGGTATCTATGGGAGGATCGACCTTGGGCCATAGATACAGGACAATGGAAGTAAGAGTAGAATAGAATGCAGGTTTGTCAGACAGCTAGGATGAGAAAGAAGGTCCCTGAGTGGTGCAAATGGTTAAGTATTAGACTCTTAGCCAAAATGTTGGTTGGTTTGAACCCATAGGCAGGCTTATGGAACAGTCTACTCTGTATACATGGGGTTGCCATGGATAGGAACAGACTAGACTGCAACTAACAACAACAGGGTGAGAAAGAGCCAAGTGCTGTCCTAAGGTCTCTAGATGATAAAGCCTAAGAATGAAGGTGTGACCAAACCAAGTGGCTGGTAGCAATGGGGCTACTGATGCCTCACTATCTGAGGGAGGGCAGAGGATGAGGTAATGGCATATTCAAGAGGCCGGGGTCCTAAGGTGATGGCAACCAGAGAGGTGATGGTAAAAAGAGAAAGCATAGCTGGCACAGGCAGACATACTGAAAAGCAGGAGACCAGAGGAAACAGACAGCTAGAAAGGGTGGAATAACTGTACAAAGGAGCCCTAACAGTTCAAACACAGTAAGATGGGGGTCCTATAGTAACAGATAATGGGCTGACTATGTAGTTTGCATTCCCAACTGCAAAACCCTTATCTAGTCCATTACATTAATAACATTTTCCATCGCCTCAGATTTTAATTCTTTTAGCTTTCTGCCAAGACAAATTATTTATTTCAGATTATGGAACCTGGAGTTTTCATGTGATTTAAAAATAAAAGTATGGTCCGTTGTGCTTGCTTAAAACTTCTGGGTCATGCCATTCCATTACTAGGTATATACCCTACAGAAGTAAGAGCCATGACAAGAACGGATATATGCACACTCATGTTCATTGCAGCACTATTTACAATAGCCAAAA